AGCTCCACTGGTGGGACCCCAAACACATGGGGTCATCATTCGCAAGCGGTGGGGTGCGAGGACGGATTCCCCTTCCGTGATGCTCCTGCCCAGCGGAAGGGGAGCGGAGAGGGCAGCGTGCGGTAGACGGAGCATAAGAGTGGCCGGGCTCGGCTGTGTCTCCCCAGGGTGCCCAGGAACAGTTTTGTAGAATCATAAATCATTAAGGTTGGAAAAGACCTCTAAGATCGTGAAGTCCAACCGTCACCCCATCACCACCATGCCTGCTAAACCATGTCCCCAGGTGCCACATCTACATGGTTTTTGAACCCCTCCAGGGATGGGGACTCCACCACCTCCCTGGGCAGTCTGTCCCAATACCTGACCACTCTTTCAGTAAAGAAATTTTTCCTAATATCCAATCTAAACCTCCCCTGGTGCAACTTGAGGCCATTGCCTCTCGTCCTATCGCCGGTTACTTGGGAGCAGAGACCGACCCCCACCTCGCTACACCCTCCTGTCCGGTAGCTGTAGAGAGCAGTTTGCAGAGGATGAGCAGGGACCGGCCAGGCGCGGAAGCTGAGGGGGAGACAAAGAGGTGTCACCATGTACCCTAACTGGGTCACAGCAAGAACGGATGGAGTCTCCAAGGACTGATTTTTGCCCCATCTTCCCCCTGGGAAAGGCTGCGCTAACAACGCGGCTGTGGCTGGGGTTGCCATTAGCTGTCACCAGCCACAAGGCAGAACAGGTTCCTGCTCGACAGCTGCCTTACAGGAGAAGAGAGGAAGCGCAGAGCTGAAGGGCAGCTAATAAGGGCCCTGTGACACAGCGTTAACCCAGTTAGCTGGGAACGACCATCCATCCCCTGCTAACTCGATGCTGAAGGGAGGCACAAAGGACCAGGCAGACCAGGGAATAATTTGTGCTGACCAGACCCGCCTGAAACATTGGCTGACCCGCACTGAGGGCTTGGTGAGGGCTGGTCTGCAGCACCGCCAGAAACGAGCGCCTGTTCTCTCAGAAGATGGCAGGAGGCAGGCACAGGCTGCGCAGACCCAGCACGCCGAGCACAAACGCTGCAGGGTAACCCAGTGTTTGAAAAAGGTGGGCGAGAGATCCCACGGCCAGGCCAACACCGGCTGGTCTGCGATAGACTGAGGGTCAGGCGGCGAGCGCCAGCTGGCCTGCAGCCATGGGGACGTGCAAAGGGGGTCCCTTCTACCCCTACGCCACCACACTTGATTTGGAGGATTTTCTTGTTGCTGGTCAGCGGCGCTTGGTCATTCTTTCCTCCTGAGAAGTGGTGATGAGCAAAGCATCGCTTATTTTGGCTGAGCAGGGCTGGGTCTCGATCCCACTTGGTTCACCTGCAGCCCTGTGGCAGGCAGAAGTGACCTCGAGGCTGCTGCGTTCAGAAGCTGGTGGTCTGTCTGCCAGAGAAAAACCACGAGGGCAGCAAGCAGGTCTAGAAGGCGTGCCTGAAGGTCTGCACCGGAGGAGACTCAACCCCAGGCCGTAGCCTTGCAACCAGAGCTGGCGTGCGGCAGCCTGGAGCGCCTGGGCTGTGCGATCTGTCGCGTGCAGCGCCGGTCGGCTCAGATCGCGCCCTTGCTTTGCTCAGTAGGACATCCCACCTCCGCATCTCCTCCCGCACGCCCCGCCGGGGACGCAAGCGCAAGGAGAGCTGGCAGGTCCTGGCAGAGCCATTCCATCACACCCTGCCGTGGCTGCTGCTTGTCAGAGGAAAGAAAGCGAGGATGGATCCGGGAAAGACGCAGAGCAGCCATTTCACGGGGCTCCA